GTGCCAAGATGGAACTAAAATTTAAAGAAGCCTCAAGGGGTGGGCACTGGAGTGAAGAGTTGACAGGAAATGGGGTAGAGAGAGGAGACAGCCTCTGCACAGTGGATCACAGACATTTATGGAGTTCCTGATGGTGTGGTGAGTTACAGAGTGTATAAACCTCCATTTTGCTTTTGAGGAGTTGTGAATCTAGTTGGAAGGAGAAAATATGTACCTGTGAATCAGAACAATTAAGGACTATTAACATGGCACTCCCTAGGTGCAATACCTTAGAGAAGGGAAGAGGTCAGTGAAGATAGAATGGTTTTCAATTTTTTTAAAAGAATAGGAATTTTATTTCCCCCCAGCGTTCAGGAGGCTAGAAGTCCCAATTCAGGAGTAGCTCTAGAAGGAGATCCTTCTTTGCCAATTTCGGCGTCTGTTGTTGTTGTTGTTAGTGGCCTCAAATGGATTCTGACTCCTGGTGACCTCGTGTGTGCAGACTAGAACTGTGCTCCATAGCATTTTTAAGGCTGTGAGTTTCCAAAGTGCCTCTGGGTGGGTTCAAACCACCAGCCTTTTGGCTAGTAGTCAAGTGCTTAACCAGTTAATTACACCATTCAGGGACACTAGAATGGTTTTTAAAGAATGGCTAACATTTAAATAAAGAAAAGGGGAAAAAAAAAAGACACTTTCCAGATGATAATGAAACATATCAAAATGGATTTGGAAGCTGACATAAACGATTTTTATAATGCACAAAAATTTTAAAAAGTCATAGACACATATATGGACAAAGCCACTGACAAAGATTAAGGTCAGCAAAAACTAGCATACATACACACAAAAATAAACATGATAATAAATAAAGTTCTTACAAAAGATAAGAAAAAGATGCACCTTCATAGAAAAATGGGCAAAGCACATTAGCAGGAAAATTACAAAATAAGAAATATGAATGACCAGTAAACATATATGAAATATATTCAGTCTCAGTAAAATCAAAGCAATATAAATATAGACAATAAAATGTTGAGTTTTTTTTTCTTTGCTAAAAAGAAAATGCAAAACACAGGTAATGTTTATTCTTTAACTTGTTCAGATATTCTAAAGAGCTGAACATTGAGTGTTTTTATAAGAAAAAAATAAAATTACTTCATTTAAAAAAAAATATATATATATAGCATCAATATATATATATATATATTGTCATATATATATATATATGTCATATCTATATCTATATCTATATATATGTTGTTGTTGTTGTTATGTGCCGTCGAGTCAGCCCTGACTCATTGCGACCCCTTCTTGGGTTTCCAAGGCAGTATCACTACGGAAGTAGGATTGCCCAACCTTCCTTCCGAGGAGTGGCTGGTGGGTATATATATGGCATCAATTTAAGTATATGGAATAGCCAGAACAGGCAAATATATGGAAACCAAAGTTTATCAGTTGTTACCAGGGGTAAGAGAGATGCGGGGAGGGGGAGTCATTGTTTATGAAGCATTGGGTATCTGTTTATGGAAACCTGGCAATGAATATTGGTGATGGCTCCACAACATGATTAATGTAATTGAAGTCAGTAAATTGTACACATGAAAGACATTAAACTGGCAAATGTTGTGTTACATGTATTTTTACAACAATAAAAAGCAAAACAAAACAAATAAAAAAATAAAAGAACTTAAAAAAAATCTATAGCACCAATAGATCAGAACAAAGCTGATATATATTAAGTTACTTTCTGTTATTTTATCAACCTCGGAACAGAAATTTTAGACAGTATACTGCTCAGTCACTTTTTACATACTTTTCTGAAAATTTCATAGTAGGATCTGTTTGGTAATTTTTCATGAGGAATATTGGTCTGTAGTTTTCCTTCTGAGTGATGTCTTTGCCTGGTTTTGGTATCAAGGTTATGCTTGCTTCATAAAATGAGTTAGGGAGGATTCCATCCTTTTCTATGTTTTGGAATAGTTTGA